AAATATAAAAATATATACTTATATACTATAATCTGGAGACATGTGAATGGAGGAGATGTTTTATTCAAATGTCCTCTTTCTGCCTGCTAAGTGCTCTTAAGATACAAAGAGGAGTGACACGAGCATTTTCACAGCCTTGAAGATCTTTGCTCTCTTTAGTGAACAGGGGATGGCTACAAAAATATAGATTTGAGTAAACTGTGGTTTCTTGTAAGCACTTGTGTGAACACAGTGAAACCCATAGTGACTAGACAGGCTGATTCCGAGGGATAATGAACTTAGCTTTTCCTCTGTAAAGAGGGCGCTGCTTCCTGCTGTGCTTGTCACACACAGAGCGGTTATAGACTCCCAGGTTTGCTTGCTGGCAGTTACAAGTGAGGCACTGGGAAATCCCAGGGGCTTTTTATGTGTCAGTAAAGACACAGGTGAGTGCGTCTTAAAGACCAGTTCTGCAGTTTCTCATCCTGTTCACACCAGGGAGAGTAAAATTAAACTTCACCTTTAGGTCAAGCGTAAAGAAAGTAGATGTGTAGACCTAAGAAACCTTCCATGTAGGGTCTAATCTGCAGGCTGAGAGATGCCAACTCCCCATTCTTGTGAATACCTGATCTTACTGTTCCAAAAGTACAATGCTATGGGCTAAAAAGGGGCCAAGGGCTTTAGCAGAAAGCAGGCTCTGCTGGCAGGCAGGCCTGGGAGTGTGCTGACCATATCAACTGGGCTGGAGTCACCTGGCCATGGCAGCCCTGCCCTCTGCAGTGAGGCATCTCTCTCCTTGGAGGTCCTCTCCTCGCCCTCGTTTTGGGGTTCGCGCTCACAGTACTATGCACTTGGGTGGTCCTGTCACAAGGCAGATGTGAGAGCTGTAGTAAATTATGATTTTAATTGCACAGAGTCAGAGATGTGTGAGATGGATTCTGCAACAGAGCTACTGTTTAGTGATGAAGGACTTTTTTTTAGGCTACCGAAGAGGTGAGGTTCCAACTATGTAAATGTCACGACAGGTAGGGTCTCTATTTCTGTATTCAGCAAGGTCTCCATACTTCCAAACCAGATTTTTAACTGTTCTGATATAATTTTGATGTTTTCTGCCTTTTTTGTTCAGAGCAAACTCTAGAAAATAATGAAAACTATTATACCGAACGAAAAGCACATGGCCATGCATGTATTGTAACATGAACATCTTGAACTTTTGCTGAGATCTCTTGAAACACTCCCTATTTTCTGCACAAAAATGACCTTATTGACAATGTAAATTCTTCAATTTGTAACTTTTCAATACCAAAGTGCTACTGCATCTGACTTAAACAAAGAAGCAAAATTATATAAAAAAAGAAAACTTGAAAAACAAATGGTTTTAAATAAGTCCAGCTGGTTTGCTGCCTGCAGCCAAGGATCTTTTTAATTTGAATCCTTTAAACTTTTTTTAAACATCAAACACTGATCTGAAGTCCTGCTTTCAAATACTCTCTGAGTTGACCTGCAATTGTTTCACTCATTTAAAGAGGTACATTAAATAATAATCAACTAATTTGGAACGCACACGTGTCAACATCAGCAGTTTGTAATTAAAGAGTAGTACAACAACTGCCTTCAGACCAAACCCTCAAATAAAATAGTGCCATAAACTTTACAGTGACATCTGATATGTTTCTGCTGTAACGATGGGCAACGATGACGACTGTGCATGAAACATGCTGTTAGTATAAGCCTTGCACATTTGCTACAGGACAGAATATTGTATGCACCAGTCTTAGACACCCTTCCTCTTCTCTCAGAAGATGGGTGACAGAAGAACCGTTAAGGCCCCTTCTTTGCTACCGTGCTTTCCAGATGAGCTATTCACCCCTGTTCAGTTTGAGTTATTTTGTGATGCAGGAACTGATCTATTTTCCAGTGGAATGGAACGTGGCTTTTGTACTGTGCAGAAATCTTGGCTCTGCTGAGCTGGGAGCAAATTCACACAGATTCCATCGCAGCCAGGACTTCACCCTTGCCATGCTAACCGTGTGTTGGCTTTCACCTCTGAAAGCCTAAGATGTCTCCTCCTGTGCTGTTAGGAAGCCTGGACAAGCTTGGGAGCAGAATGGGGCCATATGGGGATGTATTTAGTTAGGGAATATTGAGTCTGCCTTATGAAATATGTACATCTCGATTACTGATCCTGAGGGTCACCACTGGTGACAAAGGAAAAGCAAGGAAGGAGTAGGGAGAGATGACCCCACTGCGTGGGAAGGCACAGAAATTCACTGGGATTTTGGTGCCTGAATCGTTTCAGTGGGCACCTAAATGCCTTTGAGGATCTGAGCCCAGTTAGCTGAGTAAAATGAGAGTGAGACAATTGTAAACAATATTTCTAGGTAATTACGAGGTCACTTTACCCATCGTTATTCCAGCCTTTTTCAATGTGATAAATTTGACTTTGGCTGCTACCAAAACAAAAAGGCAATTGCTGATCTTTTTTAATATAGGCATATTTAAATAATAATAGTATCAACAAATAAGAAAAGTCTAAATATCAAGCATAAATATCAATGAACTCATCAAAATAGTACAGTAGTTGAAAATGACCCAAGGCTGTAGCCGTTGTATTAAAAAAAAAAAAAGTCCAAGAGCAAAAAAAGTTAAATTAACTCATTGAAAAAGAAGGGGCTGATTCTTTCAGTTGACAAAGCAAGAAAGAAGCAAGCATGATTAAAACAAAAAAAAGAGCAAAATCGTTTTCTTTTTGCAATTTATAAGGTGCCAAGAGAAATAAAACAAATTAGATGCAAAGCAGGATGAGCTGCATCCTAAAAAAAAAAACCCCAAAAAACCACCCCAAAACAAAACAAACCCCAGCAATAAAAAAATTCCGTATTCTTTGGAATATACAACATGGTTAAAAAAAAAAAACCAAAAAAGAAAGAATGAAGTCCAACATATAAAACCTCTCATTCACAGCATTGCTAAAACAGAAGCGTTCACAGTTTCCCTCTGGGAATCTTCCTATACTTCCTTACAGTTAATATGTCCATAAGATGCAGTAAACTCACTAAGATTTTTTTTAGGTTTTAAATCTTAAAAATAGAAGTGAACCGAAACTCTCTTTAGGGTTGTGGAGACCTTCAAGCCCAGGCACGCTGGAAAGCCACAGGCCTGGAAACAGACTGGGTACCTTTCTACCCACCCTCACTACCTCTGGACCACCAACCCGGGCATCCTCCTTTCCAGAAGCTCAGCCCCCCATGAGGGATGCTTTGCTGGAGCGACATCGCTTCGACAGGGGCTGGCTAATACAGGCCACCGCTCCTGGGAGCGCTGACTTCTGGAGGGTTTGCTTCTGAAAGTGATGTATGAACATGGCAGGGCCCATAAGCAAGACGGGTGTTTATGGGATACCTACGGGCACCGGGAAATGGAAAGCACATTAGTCCTGACCCATAACTACTTAAAATTCGCTCAGTATGGTCGCCACACTGCTTCCTCTAGCCTCGCTGTGGTTGCCATGTTAGTTGGGGAGTTGCTGTGGCTCCCTTCCGCCTCAACCACATCGCTTTGGTTGGGGAGGTTGGGGTTGAGAAGCGTCGATCCCGTGGAGGCGTTGGTGCAGGGCGGGTGGATGCGTGGGGGAGACCGGTCTCCCCCCGAGATCATGGAGAACTGATAGGAGCCAGCAGAGGTTCCGTAATAGAGGTGGTAGGAGGGTGAGCTGGTCTGGAACGGGCTGCCCTGGGCCTGCGACGAGCCGGGGTAGGGAGGTGGGAGGTAAGTGTGGTATCTCGTGGCTGTGGACATGGCAGACATACCAATTCCTATTCCTGAACTGACAGGCGTCGGCGTGTAGGTGAACGCTCCCGGGTAGTGCATCCGAGGGTCAGAGATGGAGGGGAGCGCAGAGAAGGAGCGGTCGATTCCCACCCGGGGGTCACTGAACGCTGTCAGCTCGGAAGCACCTGGATGGTGGGAAAGGGAGACAGAGAACTGTTGAGCTGGCAGAATGGAGGCTCACACGTTTGAGGCGAGAACCAGCATCCAAACTCTGGTCTACAGCTAACCAAAGCAGCCAGATTAGAGCTATCCCTCAGCTGCTCTGGAGAGTCAATGTAATGCTTGTAGATCTGGATGTTTTGGATTAATTTCAGTAAAGCAGCAATTAAAGAGGAGTGCCAAGCTCCTGCCCTGTTTTCTATGTGTATGTATTCGCTCCTAGAGACTTTACAGTACATGGAATTCTTTATACTTCCAGAATGTCCTCATCCTCAATGGGTGGGTGAGGAAGAGGGACACAGATCTCCAGCTGCTTGGCCAGCATCACTTGACTTACCAGGGACACTGACGAGACCTAATTATAAATTGTCCAGCTTCTGCATAGTCTCTCATTGCACCCAGTTTTATTTGCCAAGTCAAATGGGAAGCTCCATGGAGCAGAGACTGTCTCTCAGGTTCATGAACGTGCACAGGCAGGGTTTACACACACAGGCTCAGCCTAGCTCTCACCATTCAGGAGCACACTTCCCTCACACTTTCCCATTGATGCTCAACACTAGCAAAGTCAAGATAAATCTGGTTCACTTAAGGTCTTTATATCTGGGTCCTCATATAATGTCTACATAATTGTTACTAAGTTCTCAAAATCTTGGCTCTAATGAGTATGGAATAAAGGACAACAATAGTATTGCCTTTTTAAAGCAGAATGATATATTTTTCGGGGTTGGCCTTTTTATTTCCTTTCCTTTGTGCTAGAAGCCTTTCTCATCCTGCCAAATGAAATGTTTTCTAGGACAGTCAAATTCTGCTCCATGCTCTCGGACATCAGTGGAAGTATGTCTGGTCCCACCATCTCCTTCCCTGGTGTGCAAGGATTAAACAAGCAGGGCAGATAATGGCTTCTTTAGGAAGGATCTTCATCATGACTCAGATTAATGGAAGGTGTCAGTCCCTAGAGTTGGCAGCTATGCATGAGTAAAATAACAACAATAATAATTAAGAAAAAATCTTTCCAGAAGACAACTTCTTCTACCAGACAAGGCGTGGAGTCTGCAGAAGAGGAGCCATGCGCTGAAGGAAATACTCATGAGAAGAAGCAGAGAGAAAACAAAGCTCTTGGCTCTGACTGGATTTAAAGCTGGAGCAGACACACTGCAGCGCCAAGTTCTGAAAGCTCGTCAGCGACACAGCCAGCACAATTTGATGAATTCCTATAAATTTCCTAGAAAAGCTCTGACGCATGCTGCATGCTTCCTCTTTGATTTGGAGTCCCATTTTTTTTTGGAAGATTAATGTGACCCTGAACACATTTCCTTCCCCTAGACCCCAGCACCTTTAGATTTAACATGGCGAGACATACTGTGGTATGGAATGGCAGGAGCTTCAGAGCAGCTAAGGTTGAAGGTAGCATCTGACAACCTGCCAGATTTTAAATGGTACTTCCACACCTCATTCCTGAGAAAGAAATGAAGCTTCTCGAAACTGCCTGGACACATCACTTCTCAGATGAGGGCTTCTTCTGCTCGGTTTGGCAAAAAGCAGAATAACGAGACTTAATGTCAAGGCGTTTCCAGCAGGTCCCGTACCTTTGCTTTTTCTTGTGAGGCACTGTGTCTTTATATGGTAGGGCCTAGAAAAACCCTCAAATTTGCTTTTTTTTTCTGCCAACGAGAAATTTCTTAGCTAGACAGCGAGTGTGTGTGACACTAATGGGCTAGGGGAAAAAATACTGTGAGAATTTTTTCTGGGAATATTGAATGACATTTGATACAGAAGTAACATTTTGGAAACATCATAAAAAACACTTAAGATGTGTAGAGATGAGCACCCATGTACAGAATTCGAACAGGAAAGAAAAGGATGCTGACATGTGAATGGAGCTCTTCTAGGTTCTTTCTCAAGTCATGCAGAAAATATGCCTGCCACAAAGTAAATCAGTTTGACCACGGGCACAAAAAGCACCGATAAGCCCTAGGGCTCGTATTGCACCTCCATGCTCACCATGTGCCACCAAAGAGGCACAGAATGCACTTACTCCACACTTATATGGCTATCTTCTATTAGATTGTGCACTCCTGGGGGCGGCCACCTTGGAAGCCTTCGGTGCTCATACTGCACCTGGCACAATAAGGGCCCTGGTACACAGTGATGACATTTGGGCACTATAGCAGTGCAAGAAGTAGTGCATTTCAATACTGAGTGCATTCACGCATTCGAGTGCAACCTCAGCCACCACACTGGTAAAGGCAAAATGTGATTAACATCTCCATTCAGTCTGAGTCACGTATCCACACCAACCAGTACACATACATCAGTCATCCTTGTATAGGGTTTGAAAATCAAAATAGCTGGTAAATAGTGATTTCAGACAATTCTGTCAAGAAAAAAACTTTTCTAAGTAAAAAAAAAGTGATGAAATTACTTGTTTTACTTGAAATTTTCTGGTTGCTATTGTAAAATCACAGACTGGTTTGGGTTGGAAGGGACCTTAAATAAGCTCATGTAGTTCCACCCCCCCTGTCACAGGCAGGGACCCCTTCCACTAGACCAGGTTGCTCAAAGCCCCGTCCAACCTCGCCTTGAACACTGCCAGGGATGGGGCAGCCACAGCTTCTTTGGGCAACCTGTGCCAGGGCCTCAGCACCCTCACAGGGAAGATCTTCTATGAAGATCTTCATTCATGCTGCTTCGTTTTCTATGTTTCTGCATTTTGCCAGTGGAAAGAAGTTCAAAGAGAGGGAAACACAGGGGAAAACGTAAAAATGGAGTCTTTTCATTTCAAAAGAAGAGTGTGTCAATAGAGAATTTTATAGGCTTCTTTAAAACAATAAAATTCCTATTTTCAGCTATTTCTAAGATGTAATTAGCACCCAGACCTAACAAATAATTTAATTTTGGTGGGCATCATCCCTGTCACTCTTTCAAAGCAGGCTCTATATGACAACAATAGAACAGGCTGGAGCACGTTCAAGTGATTCTCTCTGATCTTGGAAGCAGCTCTGGGTATTCAAATAAGAGCAATATGTGCAGCCAAAGAAGATACTTTTTCAAAAGCCGTATGCAAATTTGAATTATATGGCTCTCA